CTCACGTGTAGACATACACCCGCACGCACACGCTCCCAGCCGTGTGAACACATACCCACTCACGTGTCTGTGCACCACCCACCCACATCAGTGACACCCACACGGGCCTTCCCCACGTGTATCCAGGGCAGCAAACTGGGTACTCAGGAGTGGCGTGCGAGTGGGTCCCCTCCATCCATTCCTTAGGTGATGGCTGGGGCAGGGGGTGGTGCTGGACACTGGGAAAACTGCAAAAAAACCCCCAAACTCCTCATTTTCTAAAAAAAAAAAAAAAAAAGGGGGGGGCAGTGCAGTGGTTGATTTTTTTCTGCCAGACATTGCAATGGTTTTCGTGCAAAACGCTGCAAAAAAAATTTAAAATTTTGGGAAAAAAAAAAGCTGATTTATAAGGGGGCTGCCAGGCTCCCCCTGCCACTCCCTAGGTCGAGGGGGGCAGCTGGGGGGGTGGCACTGCCTCCAGGGGTGGGGGGACCGAGGTGACGGCATCGGCCCCCTGCCACCCTCCCACGGGGCACCCACCAAGGCCTGGCCACCTCGTCCCTGTGGCTGCGGTGTGATGGGGGGGTGCAAAGCCGGCCTTTTTCGGTATTCCTCGTCCCCCCTCCCTCTGCACCATCTGGGACCGGGGCCAGGATTTACATACAGGGCTCTTTGCCTACGTGCTTTGCATTCGGGCACTGAACAAATATTTTCATTGCCAGGGGACTGTGCCCGTTGTGGTTGGGCCATGGGAAGAGGCGCCATCAAACCCTTTGGATGGGGGCACGTGTGATTTTTGGGAGGGTGGCCGGGCCCTGCGGCGGGGCAGCGGGTGCCTGCCTGCGGGGATAAGGGATCGGGGGGCCCGTCCCACGCCCGCCGCCTCGGTGGGTTTCTGAGCGAGCTGCAAGAAAGGGACCTTTCACCTCTCATTAGTGATGCCATCAGTGGCTTGGCAGAGCGGAGCTGAGGTCATGTTACATATGGCACACAGTCTGTTCAGCGCCGGCAACGCCAGCTTTGAAATTTTAGAGAGGGGAAAGGTCACCTTGCGTAAGCCGAGGTCTGGGGGTCCTCCGCTCTGTCTGCGCCCTGGGTGGGTCTCCATATGCCTCCATCGTCGCCAGCCTCGCTCTGTCTGGCCCTGAGAGATGCTCAGCCCGTCTCCTCTTCTGCCTCCTGAATTTGCAGGGAATCACTTAAACGAAGGGAATACTTTCACCCTGCCTTTCCTTTTCCCATACAGAACATCTCTCTCAGAGCTGCTTTTTTTCTTTTCTTCTTTATCTTCCCAGCATAAACTGGTCTCTAACGACTGATTATTTTTTCAAACAACATATAACGCAGCTTTCCGGGAGAAAATGAGTTGTCTCTCTTTATCAGCAGATCTACCCAGACGGATAAGTTTACCCTTCTCAGACCTGGGTATATAATTTCATAGACCTTCAAAAGTGTCGTGCTTCCATGGTGATTAAAAACTTCTCGCTCCTGCATCTTGCTGGGGTATTTCAGGTTTCATGCCACTGGATCTTAGAAAAGCACATCTGTACAGTCATATTTCTTTCATCTGAAGAGTGGGAGAGAAGCAAACCCAATATATTTTCTGTTTGGAAATATACGACACATTATGTCAAATTAATTCCTGGTGTAATTCACTACGCTGAATTTCGGTAGGATCCTGGCAGGGCTTCATCTGGAATGATTCTGGAGGTGGTGACTGTGGGAAAGAAGTTACCATTTTCCCACGTATGATGGCTGAGAGTGTGAAGTTCAGGCCCATTCTCAGCCTTGCTACAGAATCTTATTTTGCAAACTTTATTTTTTAAATACATGGGGCCTGATTTTTAAGCACTTAAAGTAACTGGGGTGGAAGTTTCTGGCATGCAGCTGTTGCAGAGAGATCTTCAAAAGGACATTTGCTTCTACGCAGGTCATCACTAAAAAGGCTCTAAATGAAATAGATGCTTATCTTGAGAATCTTGGAGAAGCTGGAGCTGAATGAACATGCGCTGCAGATTCAGGATACACCTTTCTGCCTGCTCCAGCGTGGCATCCGAACAGCCACATTAAAAGGAGCTCATTCCGATTTCCTACTAATAGGGCTACTTGCATGGATTTTAATTTTTAAATAGGAATAGTCCTCCACTGCCTGTCAAAAAGGGGTTGGGAGGAGAAGTATGAGATGGCTTATTTTCAGAAATGGAGATGCTGAGATCTGTCTATGCTTTTTGTCATAAATATATTTTCCTAGCATGGGGCTAAACTGTGGTCTTAGTTATTGAGTGCAAATCTGTCAATTTAAATGGAGTTCATTGCAAGTGGGAATGGGATTTTAGCCATAATTTTCTGCTGCTGTCTAATCACTGGAGTCTGAAGAGAGCAACATATGTATAATGGTAGCTGAGATGCAGGAGGGGTGGAAGCTTTCTACCAATGAGAACCCCATTAAATAATTAATTCCCAATTGCCTTTCTACATTAGTGCTTTCAGCTAAAAAAGCCGGTCGGCTTTGTAAGGCCTCAGGCAATGAAACATTTGGTGCATTGTCAGTCCAAAAGTGGAGGTAATAGATATCCAGGGTGGCTGGAAAAGTGCTACTCTCCATCCTGCCATTTGCATATTCCAGCTGCGCAGCCTCATTCCTCATTCCCTCCTTTGCCTTACTTAAGTTTGACAGGACAGCCTCTCTTCCGAGGTGGCTGCTGAGGAAGCCAAAAGTGTATTTATTTTACTGAAACCAGATGAACTTAATGCTTGAGTCTAAAAATGGAGTATACAAAAGTTGGTCTTCCTTTTATCAGCAAACCAAACCTGATGGGTTAATAAGAAAAGGAATGAATTTCCCCCTCCTTTCCTACTTGCCCCCCTTACCCCATCTGCTGGTCCCCCAAGCTCAGCCTGTCATCTCAGGTCAGGTTGGGATCTTTTGGGCTCATACACCATTCGCAATAAAGATCTTGCCATGAGAAATGAGTTACCAAGCCTTTTGATGTACAAGTCATCAGAGACTGCTCCGCTCACCTTCTGAGATAAATATACATGTGCATGTGTGTATAAAGCTGAAGAAGAAAAGGAAGCATTGGAATAAATTGCCTGGGGAGGTGGGAGATTCTCTGTTAAAAACAGGTCTAGACAAACATCTGTCAGAAGATACCGACGTCTATTTGATCTTGCCTTGGAGCTGGGGAAAAGGCTGAATGGTGCTGTCAAGTCCATTCCAGCCCTGAGAGGCCGTAAGTATATGCGTGTATATACGTGTGTGTGTAGGTATATATATGTGTGTGTATGCATACATGTATATATTTCCACACTTTTCGGCAGCAAGCTTTTGGCCTCCATGGTATTTTGTGCTAGTGAAATGCTGTAGGCTAATTACACATAGGTTTGCTGTCTCTCAGTTTCATTCAATTTGAGTTTCAGCTCCGTTTAATTCAATATATCCTTTGTGCTTCGAGTGGATCAGATCACAGTGTCTAATCTACCGCCTGTATTTTTCTCCCTTCCCCTTTTCTTCAGCTCTTTTCATACCAAATGAAGTCCCTTCAATTCTGGGAGCTTTCTGGTGATTCCAAAGCGCATCTGTGAGCCCACTTGGGGTTACGCTCCTTGAGGTAAGGTCATGATAGCAGAAACATTACTACCTACGATAGATGGGTGCCTGGAGAAGCTGTCTGGCTGAGCAAGAGGACAGCAGGAAAGATTTGGGGTTTTTAAATCATTACTTTTGTAGACGATCACTTTCCAAAGCATCCCTGTGCTTTAGAGACAACGTGGTCAGGGCCGCTGCTGGCATCCCTGTAACTTCTTTCCAAGCACGCAAACCTCAGCAGGACCACTGGAGCCGCCGGCTGCGTTTGAGGAGTGTGTTGGCAGCTTGTTTGTGTTCGTGATGGAGGACAGGGAGTTACCATGGGCCAGGGCTTGGGATCCTTTACACAGGAGCCAATATTAAGTACTTCTATTAAAATTCATTTCAAAGTGAGTTTTATCAGTGTGACACGTGGAGGGTCCCCTAAAGGCAGGGTCCTGTGCAACTCAGCATTGGCGATAGACGAGAAGCTGTTCCATGATGGGAAGCTTATACTCCAGGTAGGTGAAAAGGGGTTTTTCGGGCCTGGTGTGGATGAAACTGTATAGTAATTCCTCTGTCACTAGCCCCAGCGCACACCTACACCAGGCGATGCTGATATTCCCTGCGACATCACCACCTCCCTGTAGCTGAGCCCCAGGACCGTGAAGCACCGCTGCACCTCCCTGGTGAGTGCCGGATGGAAGGACGAGATGCTGCAGCGAGTTGCAGGAATCAACACCAAACTTTGTAGCAGAAATTGAATCCTGAATTTCTGAAGCCAAATGCTGGGATGAGCCAGGTTGCAAAACTCCGTGATCTAGGCTTTTAGCCCCTGCTACTAGCCTGCATGAGATTTAAGAGGTGACTTTTCTTGCCTGTCCATTTTATCCTTCCAAAAAACCTTTGTCCCCCATAGCAAAGGCATGAGAATAAAGTCTAGCAACCACATTTGTAACCTGACGTACTGGCTGAAATCACCAGCTTCTGCAGAGTATCTTGGTACAGTGGGTTGTACTCTGTGATGACCACGGAGGAGACACACCACTACTTCTGCCAAGACCACGGCAAGGCAGCAGCCTCCAGCCCGGGGACAGGCAGGGGCAGTAAGCCCTGACACTGCCCGAGCACGAGCACCCGAGGCTCGTGAATCCATCCTCGGGGAGGGTTTGAAGAGCAGCTGTGAGATAAGTTCACCCTTTGGCTGTACCCTCCTGGCAGAGGGTGAGCTGAGCTCTCCTGAGTGTTCGTTCAAGGACTACGAGCAACAGGGAGAAGAAGGTGGCTTATGAGCTCCTTGGGTAGCAGGGTGTACAAAACCAAGGGGACTCTTCCAGGGTATGCTACGTCTCAGCTTATGGTGGGATGCGATGTAGGTTTTGACATCAGGACGAGGAACTCTTTGCAAGCCAACCTCTGGCAGAGCTTGGTTAGGCAGCCCAGGAAAGGCAGAGGTGAAAGAGGGGAATGTGACTGTCCCCTATAAACACGTCCGAGAAGAAAGAGCGGTTTAAGGGGAAGAACAGAGCGGGTGCAGGACAGATGAGCATGGGCTGGCTGTGAGCAAACACGAGCTGGATGTTGGAACAAGGTCTCCAGCCATCAGTACACGATGCTCTGCAGCAAAGGTGATAGAAATCACACTAATTTTACAAAGGAGCTCAGCACTTGTACGAAAGGGCTGAGATGGGGTCTTCCCCTGCTCTAACCCTTAGTATTTAAACATCCCTTTTTATGAGGTCTGCCTGCACAGGGTCAGGCAGGGACGACACCGAAGGCAGAACTTCCCTGCCAGCGAGTCTGTATTTGCCCTTCCAGAAGCGGCACACTTGCATGCACCAGAGGCATCAGCCATGTCAGACAGTCTTTCGGGGGGGTCTTCCCCCCATTTTGTTTTCTACATTCCTTTTGCTGGTGAACCGTTACCATTGTGGCTGAGGCAGTTTGATGCCTCTTGGGTTTGTACTGCAGCCAGCGCTTCTGATTCTGTCTGGCCGCATATTGTGTTTGGCTGGTAGGCTCTCTCTGAAAATTCCTCTTTTTTTCCCTTTTTTTTTCCCTCTGTGGCATTTTAATATCTCACAACAGGCATCTTTACAAAGAGATTAAAGGTCTAAAAGCAAACAGCTGTTTCATAGGCACGCTTTAACACAGGTAACAAAAAACGAATCCCTTGTAAAAGAGAATTTGGGGAGAATTTCTTGAGTGTGGGTAATGCTTTTACAACTCTTCTTCCACAACACTGAGGAATTATGAACAATTCCTGAGCTAACGTTCATGCAAACCAGCAGGAATTATTCAGGTAATTAAAGACTTAAAACCATTTTAGGAGAAACTAGGAGAGAGTGAAGCTGTATCAACCTCAAAAAGTTTCTACAGTGATGACAGAAAATCCATGCACTTTTGGATGGGGGAGTGGATGCAGTTCAGCTACAGAGGAGGAAGGAGAAGAGCCCCAAATCCTTTATGCTATTCATTTATTTAACCCTCTGGTAGAAAAACCATTGGAAATGTAGTTGGGGCTGTACTGGAACCGGCTCAGCACCACAG